CTTCTTTATGCACCAAGAGCTTGTAACACTCCAAAGACAAAGGAAAACTTGAAATCGCATCATATGACCCCTTTCACTGAAATGCTGCCCATCTGTGCAATACAGCATGACTTTGAGTGGCTGTTTTACTTTATCAGCTCATCCAGCGTCGATGAGCAGGGAGATGAGAAAAGAGATGCTGGGAGTTTACTGAAAATTAGCGCAAAAACCAAACGTTTCTGACTGAGTCAAAATGGGGGTGGAAAAGAATCTTAATTAGGGCTGTCAAAAAAAATTATAATTTCGAATATTCGTCGAATTTCAAATAAAAATCCACATTTGAATGCAAAAACGTTGCAACGTTTTTGCATTTGAATGTGGATTTTTATTTTAAATTCCAGCGTCGATGAGCAGGGAGATGAGAAAAGAGATGCTGGGAGTTTACTGAAAATTAGCGCAAAAACCAAACGTTTCTGACTGAGTCAAAATGGGGGTGGAAAAGAATCTTAATTAGGGCTGTCAAAAAAAATTATAATTTCGAATATTCGTCGAATTTCAAATAAAAATCCACATTTGAATGCAAAAACGTTGCATTCGAATTTTAGGTGTGCATTAAGGAGGCTGTCTTATCAGTGGCGCACGAGATGCGATGACGATGTAAGTGTCGTTGCATTATAATGCTTTTGTTAACCTATCCAGTTGAGATGCGGCGCTGCTGCGTTGTTCATTCAAAATATGGCGGAAAAAGAGAACATCAATGCAGAGAAGATCTTGTTTACGTCAAAACTGAAACCAAGCCGTTCACACTGAACACATATTTCGCACATTTTCTAGAGGGACATCTATCACCGTTGCACTCTCGTCTCGCACAAGAGAGCCACATGTTTAGAAAGCCATTTAAAATTAATGTAAGTTTAACTTAAAAAAAAAACAACCTATATCGAGACTTTATGGCGGGGTTTTTCCCCATCCCACTGCAACTCATGTTTTTTAATGAAAAATGTACTCTGTGATTGGCTTTCCTCCCTTTGTATTAAACTATGCATACATACATGATGCTGTTTTGTTTATAGCTGTTTAAGCAACTTAATTAATTATAATTGGTTTATAAAAATTATTTTAAACATTATGCACTTTTTTTCCCACAGATATTTTGTTCGATGCGCCCTCTTGTGGCCCCAGGAGAGAAGCCAAAAGTTTTCTTCACCCTAACTGAAATTATGCATGTTAAATTCGAATATAATTCGAATTTTGATCATATTTAAGTACAAAATTCGAATTTGGTTTTTCAGCCATTTTGACATCCCTAATCTTAATTTGCAAATATACGAGTGTTTTTGTGCAAAAAAACTGCCAACCAAATAAGACAATCGATTATTCAAATAATAAAAAAAGGAATGCCAAGGCACCTTGAAAGCTGAAGGGTGTACTTCTCCGTGATAAAATACTTAACCCTAATTATCTTCATTTTATTAAATTAAATAGAGTGACACCATATCATACATGTTCTCTGTAGTGACATATCAGTTACCGTGAGACCTAGTAGAATGTGAAACATCATGTTCATGTTCACAATGTCTACTTCATTCAAAACGAGTCAGCAGGGTACATCAAATGTTTGTTTTGTCAGTGTCAGTCAGATATCCCCACTGTCTCAGCAGCGCCCCCCGCTGTCCTGGAGGAGTCAGGAAATACTCCCTCTGTTGAGGAGAGTAGCTCTCCTCTGTGGGAACCATGTCTCTGTAGCTCCAGTCTTGCCAGCGGAAGTTAAAGCGCTCCAGCAGTTCGATCCTGTCCTCCCGTGAACACACACAGTCTGGAGGACCTTTCTGCTGAAGATCTTCTCCCACTTGCACATCCTTAAAGACCAGCAGGGCTCTTATAGCAAACCAGCCACCCAGCCTGGGGTGTATGCAAACTCCAAACATCTTCTGTGCAGAAAATAACGAGAAAGACTTTTAACAGACATACAATACAACATACTGACACCAAACAACATCTTTACATTAGACGTTAGAAAAGACGAGACTAGAACTTGCAACATGTCTGGGCTGGCAACACAAATAAGTTTGCATGATATAAACATAGGCCATATATGCAACAGTGTGCTGGGCTAAACAAAAGGTTCCTACACATTTTGCATACTCAAATGCCCAGACTTCTCCGTAGATTTTTCAGACTATATTGAATAAACTGTTAACATATGTGCTACATTCTGACTATGTATGCTATTATGTTGCCAAATAATTGTTGGGATATTGTATCTACGTACTGCAGCTCATAGAAACCAATGAACACCAAACCAAGACGAGTTCAATGAGCAAATTATATTAAAAAAATTAATTAAAAAAATGCAATGCTAAAATACAGCATGAGATACAGTACTTGTCAAAAGTTTGGAAACATTATGCATTTTAAATGTCTTTAATTAAGGCTCATCTGCTCACCAAGGCTGCATTTATTTGATTTAAAAAATCAGTAAAAACTGTAATATTGTGAAATCTTCAGTGTCTCCAGTCTTCAGTGTCACATGATTCTTCAGAAATCGTTCTAATATGCTGAGTTGCTGCTCAGTTACAGTATTATTGGAAATCAGTTTTTTGTTGTGCATGCATCATGTCATGATTATGAGATCTGCTCTGATTAAAGACCATTGTAAGGCCTTCATCTGTAGATGGGCAAATTGAGACCTTCTTAAGACCCGCATAAACCCTGCTGTCAGTCCATTTCGATGTAGTTTAGAAAAGCAGTGTTTATGTTGCTGTTTTTAATTTATGCACATGTTACGAGTCTATCCACACAAACTCTCTAAGGGTGGCTAATCGATTTTCTTTTTACATGATATCCAAAGCAATTCATTTATTTAATTGCATATAATGACATTTGCTGATAAAAGTCCCCAAATGAAGACAATATTGTGGCAGACGAGCAATGCACTGAACAGACATTACCAGGAGTTGCAACATGTTGTTGCATAAGCCTGTCACAGCCCTAATCATTGTGTTGTCTGCTTAATCACAATTTCAGTCATAATCATAGCCAGATGAAAGTGTCTGTAGATCGGCACTGACCTTATCACCCCAAGCTGGACTGTGGACATCTGATTTCTGGTAGTAATATGCTGCTCCTGATACGTGGGCCGCAGTCTGAGCAAGAAACTTGGGTCTTCTGCTAGGCAGCATCTCATAATCATAACTGACATGCACAGACTGATTTGGAAAACACTGAATAAAAAAGAGAGAGTGAGAGATGAATACGGTTGGATAATGGAGTGATACGCTTCAAAACGAGTCATGTTCTTTAGTGGAAATCTGCTCTGTAACACACCAGAGAGACAGAGGATGAGACTGTGTGCGTGATGCACTCATCGATGGGGTCTCGGACAGCCTCACAGCTCTGGCTCTGTAAGAAGGGGAGGAATGAGCGCTCAAACATGGACGGTGTGCTCAGCAGCACCAGAGCCAGAGTGTCTTCTGGGTAAGACAGGTGATGAGCATCAGACACCACTGCATTGTACCAGCCAACCTACAGCCAAACACAAACATCCAAATTACATCCAGAGCTGCACACATATTTCTGTGCTCTTTTCCCACGTATTCATAAATGCACAGGTGATTCTGAAGCTTGTGAACAGAACTACCGTTTCACGTGGACAGATGTAACATCATAATATATGCACCACTGCTATATATACACGTCGATTGCTTTCATTATGGAGCATGTTTGTGTTTATTATGTTAATGGAGTCGGACATTTTACCTTAAAAGGATACAGTTCAAAACCTTGTGCTTTTAAGGACTCACGGAAAGTCCCTATAAGCTCCTCCATGCGTTCACTGGAGATCGCCATATTGCTGCTTCTCATCATTTCGCTGGTGTTTTATGGCGCTGCCCAGTGGACTGGAGTGTGAAGCGCCGCGCTCTGCAGAACCAAGAGGGGTGCTTTACACGTTTTACAACGCTGAGATGGCAAAATAATGGCTAATGTCTTTGGGGGCGGGGGGTGAGTGTGTGTCTGTGAGCTTGTGTGTGTGTGAGTGTGAGAGTGAGTGTGTGTGTGTGTGTGTGTGTGTGTGTGTGTGTGTGTGTGTGTGTGTGTGTGTGTGTGAGTGTGAACACACACTGAATTGCACCAATTTAAAAAATGCATTGCATTAACAGCTGCATTGCATTTGAATGCATTGTAAATTCAGGGCTGTGAATAATGCAGTCTGTGAAGAATTCTCTCTCTCTCCTTCATATGATCGAGTTTTGAAGGCAGCATAGATGTATCCTTCGCTGCCTTTGATATCCAACAATCCTGTTGAGCTAAAAATAAAGATGGTGTCTGAAAGTTGTGGATGGTAGTCAGATTTTTTTTTTCCATTTTTGAAGTTATCTGATGAAATTACTATTATGGTCATTAAATATTCGCTTCGTTTTCACAAAGCTTGCACTATTTTGTTGCAGATCAAGCCTCAGAAGTCTGTCTCAAATCAGTTTCGTGATTCGTGCACAAATGCTTCTGCAAAGTCACTGCCTGATAAAGCACCGAAGTCAGCAGCCTAAGCTTCTGGATTCAGCCTTTGATTTTATAGGCCTACTACAACAGTTCAGTAGCAGTTCATATTAAGGCACACACAGTGTTAACACACAGTGGTGTTTCATTACTGATGGATTCAGTGTTTTTGAACGAATCGGTCGAGTCAATGATTTTTTTTTTCCATTACTGTTAATATTTCTTATTTCTTGGCCTTCACTTTTGACTGCCTTTTTGTTATGTTCCCATCACTGACACTCCTAGACAAAACAAGAACTACACCATGGACACACTGGTACACCCACACGAAAACAGGGATTAAGCACACACACACACACACACACACACACACTCAACTGAGGTTTAGATGTTGATGTTTTATTGAAAATAATAAATTATAAGTCACTATTGTGGAAATAAGTGTTTATTCATTCGTCTTTATTCTGTTTATTATTTTTTTAATTCATTCATTAGAAAGCGTTTTGAGTTGTGTGTTTTTTACTCACACAAACATTAAGAATCATCTCATGAATCTCAACAATGGTGACAATCAGCAAAAAGCTTTTTTGTGACTTTAGTGGCTTGATTTGTAATGTTCAGAGTTCTGTTTATCTGAATATTCTGTCACCATTGTTGAGGTTCATACTCAGATTCTTGATGTCTGTGAGTCTACATGCCTCTGTCCAAAGCACAATGAGTCTGCTGTTTCTGCACTGCACACACACTGCAGATGGAGTATGTGCGAATCTAGCATTATGTGTGTCCACACTACAGAATCTGACTGAAGCAGTGTTGCACTTAATGATATGATTCTATGGTTAATTAAATTATGTTTGTGTATTAGGAATGCACACCTGTTGTTAAAAACAGAAACACAAGAACTACACCTGACTTCCAGCCACAGCCTTAGATGAAATCAACTGAAGATAAAAGAGGATATTAAATCTCTCAAGATCTCAGCAGATTAAACAACTTCTAAAACAGAATTACCAACTTCACATTACTAACTAGATTGAATTTATCTTTGCCAGAAGTCTGAAGCATATATTGAGAATTAACAGAGGTTTAGTTGTTGATGTTTTAGTGTTTTGTTTGACACTATGATGGGGATCTTTCCCTGCGTCCCAATGTTCATACTATCCATACTAAATATTATGTGAGATTAGAATAGGCCTACAGGTAAGTGTGTCCCAAAGCATAGTATGCTGAAAAGAGTATGCCGAAAGTCCGATTTTTGAAGTGTGGATCCGTGCACACTCTAATGGCTAATATTACCCACAATCCATTGCACTTTGACGAATGATTCGGTTGAGATCTACAAACACGAATAAAAAGCTTTAAAAAACATGGTGGATGTGTGCGACCGCGTTTAAGTAGAAGTTTTATAACTTTAAGTGCTACTACTTTTCTCTCCGATAGGGTAGGAAGTTAAATTAAATTAAATGTGGACGATGTAAACTGTGACCAGATGATTGACAGGCCAGTTTACAGTGACAGGGTGCGTGCAACTTTGCAACAGAACGGCCCGTTAAAGACGCAATTGTATGACGTGATAGTTTGTCCCAAAGCTTATACTCTTCTACTACACACTCAAAAGTGTGTACTTTTTCTTCACCAAAAAAGTTCATACTTTAAGGGCGTAGTATAAGTAGGCACATTGGTACGCAGCAAGTGTTTGCTTTCATTGGGCTCTTGACCCTTGACTTTTTAACCTTGATGCGTTCAAAACCGCACACTTCCCTACTATACAGTAGGCAAAAAGCAGTAAGTGAATGAATAAGTTCAATTCAATTCAATTCAAATTTATTTGTTTAGCGCTTTTCACAATACACTTTGTTTCAAAGCAGCTTTACAGAAAATTCATGTGTCTACATTACAATTTAGAGTGATCTGTTATCAGATGTGAAAGTGTCCAAGTAATGTTCATTTAACAAATCAACAGTTCAAGGTAAAAGAATCATACAGTTAGCTGACATTACTTTCAGGCAGAAGCTCATTAAAGTGATTATTACAGTTCAAGTGTGATCTTTTTTGGCTTTTTTGAAATTTTGGCAGCTGTGCATGTCGATTCATCTGGGGTCCTCGCAGGGGTCAGCATCATCTCTTCACAGGTGTTCGGTCATCTGAAGTCTTTCAATGAGGCTGGATCTGGTGTAATCTCTAGATACCTCGAGATGGGCATCCCGGGGTAGGAACAGAAAGACAAATGGAAAAGAATTAGCGTAGCTGCTGTTCATAACGTTTCAAGCAAAAAATATGTCTGTGACTTTTATCTGATCTAACTGGGAACAAGGGTGAGATTGAGATTCATTATGCGAATGCTTGGCTGAAGAGATGTGTCTTTAATCTAGATTTAAACAGAGCAAGTGTGTTTGAGCCCCGGACATTATCAGGAAGACTATTCCATAGTTTAGGAGCCAGATTGGAAAATGATCTCCCTCCTTTAGTGGAATTAGATATCCTAGGTACAACTAAAATTCCAGAGTTTTGTGACCTTAAAGAGCGTGATGGATTATAGGGCATAAGAAGATCAGTTAAATATACAGGAGTTAAACCATTCAGTGCCTTATAGGTCAGTAGCAATATTTTGAAATCAATACGGAACTTACAGCAATAGGTAGCCAGTGTAGAGATGATAAAATTGGGGTAATATGATCATATTTTTTGACCTGGTGAGAACTCTAGCAGCTGCATTTTGGACCAACTGTAGCTTGTTTATTGAAGATGCAGGACAAGCAGCTAGTAGTGCATTACAATAATCTAGTCGAGAGGTCATAATTGCATGAACTAGCTTTTCTGCGTCAGAAACAGATAATGTGTTCCGTAGCTTAGCAATGTTTCTTAGGTGGAAGTTAACTGTTTTTGTAACATATGAAATATGATTTTCGAAAGATAAGTTGCTGTCTAATATAACACCCAGGTCTTTAACTGCAGATGATGACATAACAGTACATCCTTCTAGTTGCAAATTGTATTCTAAGAGATTCCGTGTGCAGGTTTTTGGTCCAATAAGTAATACCTCAGTCTTGTCTGAATTTAATAGGAGAAAATTACTGGTCATCCAATGTTTTATATCTTTAACACATTTTGCCAACTTGGATAGTTTAGAAATTTCATCTGGTTGTGATGAAATATATAACTAAGTATCATCGGCATAGCAGTGGAAACTAATTCCATGTTTTCTAATAATGTTGCCAAGTGGCAGCATGTATACTGAAAATAACAGAGGGCCTAACACGGATCCTTGCAGCACCCCATAATTTACTGATGTTAACTCGGATTTTTCACCATTTAAGTAGACAAAATGGTAACGGTCTGCTAAGTACGATCTAAACCATTATTATTCTAATATCTTTCACACGGATCCTTGTGGCACCCCATAATTTACTGATGTTAACTCAGATTTTTTACCATTTACGTTGACAAAATGGTAACTGTCTGCTAAGTACGATCTAAACCACTGTAATGCCTGTCCCTGAATACCAGTGTAATTTTTGTAGTCAGCCTAAGAGTATGTCATGGTCTATAGTGTCGAACGCAACACTAAGATCAAGTAAAACTAGTACTGAGACACATCCTTGGTCAGAAACTAGAAGTAGGTCATTTGTTATTTTAACAAGCACAGTTTCTATGCTATAATGAGGCCTGAATCCAGACTGAAATTTTTCAGTCTAAGTATGTACGAAACCTTAGGCAGCGTCCAAAACCGCATACTTAATTTCAATAAGTACTAACTTAACGAGCGCTAAAAGAGTACGTACTCTATAGCCTGAATGCGTGAAGTATGAATGCAATTCAGACATTATCCGCCATGTTGACGTTATCATGTGACCGGTGACGTTATAACAAGCGCAACAACTTAAAAGATATGAGCGACAGGTTTAATTCATCTATCTGTTAATATCTTGATATTGATAAAACTTACTCATTTTGTGGTCTTGTTGAAGAAACAGCTGCCCATTTATTTAGATATTACTTTTTAGTAAGAAAACCCAAAATCGTTATCCCTGGAATATGTTGTTCATTTATTTTATATGCAAATTTTTTTCATCCACAGGCAAAAGTGGCTTAAATCTCCTATGTTTTCTTCTTTTCTGTTTTTTTGTCATTATGATTGTTCATTGTTAGATACAACCATCTTTCCCTGACGTCATATGTAATTATAAGTTCTACAAGTGTGATATTGTTAAAGGCTTTGAAGCACATCTTACGCTCCATGTGGAAGGTTGACGTCTCAACGTGAGCTCAACATTATTGTGGGCTGATATTTTATCCTTAAATTATGTATTTTATTCTGCTGCTTTCTTATACTTACACTCATTCAACAGAAAAAAATATTTTTACTATATAATATAACTAACTATTATTAATTGTAACTTTCAATGTTGAATACAATTTTATTTTCTAA